TCTATGACGATCTGTTTTTTGTCGCAGATCAAGGCACTTCTATGATAATTTTATCAGATTCATCATAGATATGCAAGAGTGACGCGACTTCTATGACGAATCGGTTTTCGTCATAAAACTGAAATTATGATGAATTTGGTTCCTTCAGTAATGAAATCTATTCGTCATAGAAGTGGATATTTCTAGTATAAGATCCGAAGATTAAGCATGAATGTAGCATTTAAGTATATTTGGCGCGTCTGGGAGTCCCCGAGCCTCGACGGCTCGGGGGGCGTCTTCTTGCGCTCGGGCCTTGGCTGGCGTTGTTGGCCGGGCAGGAGCAAGGGCCAAGCTTAGGCGAGTCGTCGATCGGGAGCCTGAGGCTCAGGTGAGCCCTCGAGCCCCGAGCGGGGACCGCGACGTGCTCAGGCTCGGGCTGGCTTCCTCGTTGGAAGGTGCACGCAAACGTACCCGATGGGTATAGCCCCCGAGCTCCCGGGTGATCCTAGAGGAGTCGGTCGGGGGTCTCTTCAGTCGGGAACCATTGATCCCGAGGCTTAACATACCTATATATTAGGATCTCATCACCTAGCAAGCTAAAATAGATAATATAAGGCACACAACTAAGGAATGCAAATAAGGGCGGAAGAATAAATGAGATAGTGATAAAAATAACCTTTGAAGACGATATTTTTCTATAGGTATCGAAAAAGCTCACGCTTTTATCTAATTTTCATTAGATCCTCTTATAAGGATGCTCTTGTCTTGTTCATGCCCGCACAACGCGCGAAGGAATGCCTAGTTATTTCAAGTTTTCATAAAATCAATTGGTATCTATCCTGATTTTGTGCTCACCTAAACAAACAACATTTTTGGTGATTATTAGAAAAGCTAATATAATAGAAAATAGTTTTCCAAAAATTACATATAAACATAAGCGATTTTTTAATTCATGCGTCTAAACTTAAAATATTAATTATTTTTTGAGAATTCCGGAATATTTTGGGATTGAGGAAGCACAGGAAAGATTTTTATACATCTACTATAAGGAAAAAAATGCTGAAAAACTATTAGATTAGGAAAAAAAAAACTCGGACATCACCTTGCCATTACAGATTGCCATCCCTACCTGTCGCCACGTCTCAGCGGCTCAGCCTTTTCATCCCGTGTTCTCCCTCTAGTGCGGCAACTGGGCGACCGCCGACGCCGGCGCCCTACGCCAGTTGCCCAGGCCTTCATCAGTACCTTCCCAGGCCTTAGTCGCATTCTTCGCCGGCGACGACCACCCACAAGGGTATCGCACTGTTTCTCTTCCGTTTCTGTAGACACCCGAACCCTAACTTACTATTTGGCTACTTGTATTCCGATCTGATCTAGCCCAAAAATCCCAGGGAGCAAGTCTTCAGCAGCCCCCTCGCTCCCGAGCCCTCCACGAGCGACCGCGCCGGCACACCCCCGGCGCCGGGTGCCAGCGGCCCGTGCTGCCTGCTGCCTACTGCAGCACATCACAGCTCACGGTAAGATCAGTGCTTATTTGTTCAGGAAGTTACTACGGGAATAAATTCTTTTAGTACTGCTGAAGAGAGTTAGGAGAGGGGAAAACTTTCATCAGATCGGTAGCATGTGTTCAGTAATTTGCTGAAAAAATTTGTGGATGCAAATTGGCAACAGATCAATTGCTATGTATCTGCCTTCTGTGCTGATGACATCCCACACAATACCTCCTCTATGTATTACTTATTAACACTTTGAATTGATATAGTCAATTGTGTTGATATCATCAATTGTGTTGTTTGTTATATCTATTAGTGTGTGGCTATTAAGATTTGTAGCCTTCTATTATGGCTGCGTTTCCAATTATGGCTATGGCCTTTTATAATTAACTCTAAAAGTTGATTATATCTATTAGTGTATGAAATTGAACTAGTGCTCGAGTTTTTTGTTCGTGGGTTTGGAGGCCATGGCTGCCGCACCGTGGTCCCAAATACGGCTTATTTAGCCCCCCTTGTCCCGATCCTGGATCTGCCATTGCATCAATACATGCCCTTTACTGCCCCCCACCCCCTAGGGGGTACGCAACATAGTCAGCAACATCTTTAGTTGGATATTGCAATGGTAGTGACTCGGTTGATGATCTTGCAATAATTTGGTGCTAGAGCTTGTGGTGGTGGGGCCTTATACTTTTTACACTGGAGTGCTTGATTGTTAATTAGTAGAATTTAGAAAACGCCGATGGTTTTGCTCTTTTCTTCTCTACACAACCCTTGCTTTTGTTACCTTTTGTCATTTCTCTAGTCGTATCAAGAAAGGATTTGGTAAACTTGAAATTGAAGTTCGTAAGAAGAACTGATGTCAAGGATTGTCACACTGATGACTGGCGTGGGCCCTTTTGTGACATGGTTATGGATTTTCTGATGTGGAAAATATAATCCTTCCTACATAAGTGAATTGAATTCGCTACAGTGTGGGAGCTTTGGTTTTCAGAAAATTATGCTTTAGCTCCTTGTGAGGATTTTGATGCCAAATATTATTGGTCATGCTCAGCCTTATCCATGAATGATTTATGATACAATATTGTGGCATTGTATTCCATCTTGTTTTCGATTCTAGTTGGTAAATGGAAAGGGTGGGAGCATGTTGTTCATCAATAACCAACTGAAGATCTCGTTTATTGTTTTTGGTTCTAATGCATATAGTTTGCTACTTTGCTTCCCCTTTTGAACTGTAGTCTGCAAGTATATGTGTGCGATTCAATGTAATCACCTTTTGTATGGCACTCTTTTTCTAAGTACAGATGGCAAGAACAATTAATTCCTTGATGTACAAAGGATCTATTCCCGATGCAATTAATCAATCAAGAAGGGAGAAGAAGCTCTTTATAGTCTACATATCCGGTGATTTGTCCTCACTTCCCAGCTATACTTTGCACCTCTTGAAGAATATCTATGCCAATTCTCTAGTTTGATATCCTAATTATGAATGACAATGTTCATGTCAGTCTTGCACTAGTCGAATAGGAAGATAGGTTGCCAACTTTTTTCTTTCTTTTTTTTTCTTGCTGGATAAATTAATTGAAAGTTGTGCAGTCCTTTTTGTCAAAATCTGATCTTATTTTCTTCTAGTATACATATTACTAGGTTAGCTATATTTCTTTGATACCTCTCTGTTCTAATTGTTTTCCTATAAGCTATGTGAGTTTTCCCCACGCCTGTTGGATATTAACCTATGCAGTTTTTAATTGAACTGATGTGTCTGCCTGTTCAGTGCCTTAGATCAACTTGCCATTGTACTTTGCAGTTGGAGGCAACTTGTAAACAACAAAAGTTATTGCCATGTATAATCTTATGTCATTTTTTGACTTGCAGTTGTTAGGGTTTATGAGGTAAAAGGTAATATGTTGTGCTGTCATGGTCTAGTCATGGTTCATGTTTCAGTGGTGCTACTTTTTCATGTGAGTGGAAAGTTTTTTAATTTAACCAACATGTCTGTTCAGTAGGCTAGCTTACTTTGCACTTGGAGGTGATCAGTAAACAACAAAAGTTATTGCCATGTATAATCTTGATATTATTTTTTTCCTTTACTCCTTGCAATTGTTAGGGTTTATGAGGTTAAAGGCAATAAGTTATGCTGTCATGTTTCATGTTTCAGTGGTGCTAATTTTTCATGGGCAGTGGAGAATTTACTGGATTTGAAGCCAATTAGTTCTAAGGCTGGCCTGCTTGATCCTGGGGTGTTTCTGTTTATTTTTATTATCTGATCTGAAAATATGCTCAAGTTATCATGTTGCCAAAGTTTGTTTCTCCTGCTTCGTTAACAAAGTGCGCTTTTGGAAAATCCAACACTATACACATTGGATTGTGATCAGCCGAGCCTATTAATCGAACAATATATCTTTGTTACATTTCAGGTGAAGATGAGGCTTCGAGTAATTTGGAACAGTCAACACTGATTGACGAAAACGTATGCTCTGTAACTTTTGTTAGAAGTTGAAGAAATATTTCTGTCGTATTATTAAGTATCAACATTACCATATTGCCCATGTATTTGTGTTTGTTTATACTGTCAGGTGGTTGAAGTGATCGGTAGATGTTGCATCTTATTGCATCTCAAGCAAGGCAATGTTGATGCATCACAGTTTTCAGCTATCTGTATCCTTTTATATGTTTCTTATGAATTATAACATTCATGTTTGCTCTGGATTTGCTGTGTTTGACATAATGCCCTCATTGTTCGGTACTCGGCTATCAACTCTAGGATAAGGTTTACCTATAAATTTTGGTGAGCCTTTTTCTCTAAAGGTGAAATGTGCTTATGCATTCTTTAGCATGTTTATGTTGTAAGGATAAGGATATAATATTAACACTGCGATGAGATATACGTCTGGCAAGAGAAGAGAAAGATGTTTAGTTATTGTGATTAGTGATGTTCTTCAAAGTTCACTGGGAGCAGCAGCAGAAGGCTAGCAAACTGATCTAACTTTATAAATTTGTCTCCTTGCATTAGATTGATTAGTTGGAATGTGATTTTTTTTTTCAAAAATTTTGAACTGTTCAATGTCTTTGCGTTTCTATTTCTAATGGTTAAAAGAAAAACTAGTATTTTCCTAAACCAACAAACATTTTGCATTTTATCCTAGTATTTGCTTTTGAGTTTCAGCCCTTACATGTCCATAGTTATGATTTGTTACAAGCCAATGTTTGGCAGTCCTCGGAAGTAAAAATGGAGAATTAATTATAGCCACATGCTAGCAGTCTAGATGGGTAGTATTCACTGCCTCATGTCTGCCAGGTTTAATCCCACTACCAGAGAGGTATTAACTGCCTAAGCAAGCGTGGAAGCGCCATGAGCCTCGACTGCTATGTTGCCTGTTTTGCACCTCTGTCTGCTTGCTTAGCACTAAGCTCTGCCATGCAGAGCTACACTCAATCCTGCGTAGCACCTGCCTTGCTGAGGTGGGCCTGCACCTTTAGTCAATGTCACACCCCTATCTTAAGCACAAACCGCCCTAATGCCATGCTCACATGGCCAAATCAGGTCAGTTGCCACTCGTGGGTTTACACTCAGTGTCAAATGTGCCAATACATAGCACATAGGTGCCAGTACCTGCACGGCAATGACAATCATATAATTTCCATCTCTCAGCCATTTTGATACATAGGTAGGTGTGGGAGGAAGAGGCTGTTTGTTGCCAAGAGCCCAACAATATAGGAATGGCTGTAACTTGTCTGAGAGTTGGTTACTAGATTTGAATATCCTCACACTTTTCTCTTTGCAAATTTTTGAAATTTAGTAGGTTGCAACTGGAGAAGCTACCAATGACCAATCTAATCGTTCAGAGTAGGGAATTGTAATTAAGGTATTAGCTTTATTTGGTTAGTGTGTTGAATAGCATCTCAAAATGCAACTATTTTGCTGAATGATACTTAAATGACAAACTAGTTATCTAGTGGAGAGGTCCCACAGTTAAATTAGCGACAATCTATTGCAGATATTCTAACATCATGTGTGTTCTGATTAATATTTGACTTCATCCTTAAGTCTTTCAATCAGATCCCCAGAAGTCTGTACCAAGTATATCAGTGATTGGACTGAATGGAGTTTTGCTGTGGAATCATGGTATGACTATAATATAACAGAACTTAAGGCCAAAAAGACAGTCCTTCAATAGGTAATGATTTTGGCCAAGTGCTAATATGAGTAATTTTCTCAGAGGGATGTATCAACTCTGAAAATCTGAAAGAAAGTATCGAGAAAGCTTGGGCTGCCCTTCATCTACAGGTATGTACAATACAAGTTCCATGTTTTAATTCTACTATCCTGTTCCAGAAATGCTTATGATGCGGATGATGGATCCATTTCTGCCTGTATATGTTGCACCAACACGTGGTGTTGCTCAGTTAGTGCTTGATAGTTGAGTCATATGTGAATTCTTTCCTTGTCTCATATCCTGTGTGGTTTTAATGTATAACACATCCGATACTTAAATCATAAATCAAATGAAAGGTGTGGTTGATGGTATATACTCCCAAGTCCCAATAAATGTTAACAGAATTAATTGAGACAATTAACGTCAAACCATTTGTTTGGAGAGGGGGTAGAGATTCCACCTTACTAGAATGAGAACATAATTGGATAATCGAGGGAGTAACAGGCATCAGAGGTGGAAGTTGCAAGGTGCTGGGTAGAGATTAAGCAGCACACAGGGTTGTCAGTTTCTGAGTGACATTCTCAGCAATTTCTAGCTATAGCTATTTTTTGCTTATGGGAGCCATGCACACCTTATGTCACTGGTGTACCGACTCGCCAACAAGGTAGTGTCCGGGAAATGGAATTGTGGGCTGCCTTACCCATGCTCTCAGGTCCTGCGAAAGGGCCTCTAGCTGAGTTGGTTAGGTGGCTTGAGTAGCACTTCCCAGGTCCTGGGGTTCGACTCCCCGTGGGAGCGAATTTTCAGGTTGGGTTAAAAAATCCCCTCGTCGGTCCCATGCAAAGCATAGGTTTGAGGCTTGGCCCTGGTCGCGGTTGTTCTCAAATGGGCTACGGTGCCGTTGTGTAGGGGTGGGGAAGGGGTTCGGGGGTTTTCTCGACCTACATGTGAAGGTCTTCTTAATTCAATATCCGGCCATCCGGGTGCTACCTTACCCCCGCAGGTCGAGTTGTTTCTTACCCATGCTCTCAGTGCAAGAAAAGGGGGGGGGGGGGGGGGGGGGGGTTGGTTGGTTGTGTCCTTGCATCATTTTATGTCCATCCTGCTGTTGGCCGTTGGTAGCGAATGGGTCCTCGCAAATTCTACTGCCTTCCGCCCTTCCGTATTTTCAAATTTGTCTCTTTCCTCTGGAATTTTACAGAGAACCCTTCAGATTCTGTTGATGGAACCATACTAACCCGTTTTCCTTTGCCCAACATATTTGGAATTTGCCCTTTTGGATCATCTTTAACATAAAATCATGACTCACTTAGATAGTCTTATATCTGATAGTTGAGGTTTAGGTTCCACAATTCATTTTAGTATGGTTTCATTTCAGTAAGAAAAAAATAGTCGAGAATAGAGCATCATGGATACCAGCAGGCTTGAGAACCAACTTGAGATGATCTATAGCATGCTAGTGCCTGCCTTTAGTGAGGTTGTGTACTGTTCAGTTCAGCAGCTCTCTGAATCTGTTTGATTTGGTCCTTTGTCTATTTCATAAATCGAGGGTGTGTAGTTTTATTGGCTTAAAAACACACTTTTGATAATTGCTTAGGGCATGGACATTGTCGGATACACACATTTTCCACAGTAATTGGAGGGTCTGGCTCCAATTCCACCTGTACAGCCTACACAAATAGGCCTATTTCTCTATTATTGAATTTAGGCCACTCCTAGTGACAAGTCTTACTGAGTTTTTGTATTTCATTGCTCAACTGTAACCATTCAGGCTGTGCTGGTTTCGTATACTGTAGGCTGTTCTGCAGTTGGTTTGACCTCGAAGTGGTAAATTGTGCTGTAATTTCGTTGCTTTATGGTCATGAAGTTTGGGTTTCCCGTTGTGGAAACTGTAACTATTCAGCCATGATCATGCGTGCTAGCATGTTACTACAGAGTACTTTCTCATACTAAGATCATATCTTTGAGGAAAGAAAATAATATGGCCTTTCATTTCTTTATGAAAGTTTTGAAGAATTTGGCCTGTCACTAGAGCTTTTGAAAGATACCATGTGATTTGACTACCAGTCAACCAGTAGTGCTCTTCTAAAGATATATACCTGTGAATTTTTGTAGGAGACAGCGGCGACCTTGTTGACAGCATCGCTTGCTTCAAGAAATGCTGAATCTGTGAATAATGCTACTACTGTTTTGGTAGCTCAAGGGGGCTCTTCTACTTTAGAAAATCCTTCTGATTCATCCAGTCAATCACCAGATGTTTCTGGTGCCAGTGGAGTTGCTCATTCAACTGATCTGGTGTCACAAGTTCCTAGTAGCACCACCCTTTATGTAAGTTATTTTTCTTACCCGTATTCTGTTACCGGGGTGTTTCACCCCATGATGTACATAAGTTAAGGTGATAAAACTCTGCTTATCTGCACCAGGAACCTCTTGAGATAAATGAAAAAGAAGGTTCAAAATCAGACTCAGGTGATAGAACTGTTGAGAAGTTAGGTTCAACAAATACTGAATTTAATTGTGATTTGGTTGATAGTTCAAGGAAGTCAAATACGGTCAGTTCTGCAGATCCAAAAGGAGAAGACATTACACCATCAGCGAAAAGAAAGAACAAAGATGATGGAAGTCACACTTCTGTCCCCTTGGAGGATACTCCTAGTACACTCACTAATAGAGGACTTTCTTCCCAGTCACTTGTGGAACAAGACAAGGCAACAACTTCTGCCCCCCCTCTTATTTCTGTGCACTCAGATGATATTCAGCTTAGTATTCGTATGCCCAGTGGAAATAGACTGGAGATCAAAGTAACAAAACAAGATGTTTTGAGGAAAGTGAAGAATTTCGTGGATGAAAACAAAGGCAATGAGCTTGGCTCATATGATCTTTCTCTGGTTTATCCAAAAAGAGTTTTCTCTGAACAAGGTACTGAATCGTTATTTTTGGTAGAAATCATTTGTCTTGAGATCAGTTTGTATTTCTTCTTCATTCTCAAGTTTTTGACCTGATAGACATATGATGCATCAGCACAGAACATTTGGGGCTTATTTGGATGCTGTAGTTCTAAAATCCCATTTTTTTCTCGATCACATAGGAGAGCTGCGTATCTTTGTATTAAAGAGAGAGAATGGAGAACTAATCAAGTTAATGCTAAATCATGACAATTGTGCCCAACTCCTGAAGCTTTTTAGCTCCAGGCAGGCACCACATGTTCATCTCCTCCCTGAAAAACCAATGGGCCTCCATGAGAGGAGATACACCCTCAAAAACACATTTGTTTCTATGGGAGCCACAAAGTCCAAGCCTCCTAAATTTGCAGCATCGTTAAAGCCTTTCCTTGAAGGTTTATCAACCCTTGACTCGCTTTTCCAAAACGCCATCATATCAATAAATTGCAGTTTAGAAGCTAGAGGCATGCAATGCCACTTTTTCAACAAAGGAGGTCCTGAGGGGAGTTTTTAAAGCTCCAAAAAGACTACATTTTTTTTTTGCAATATCATCATTTTTAAAACAAAATTTGTTGCATCCAAACACCTTGTGTCTTTCTAAAACCCAAGTATTTCTCTAATATAACTATATATCTATTTTTTCCCCTTGCCCTTTAGCACAGTTTTCAAAACCAGACTACACCGCAATTGAACCTACAAGAAATAAAAGGAGTACCAGAACTATCAATTTTGGTTGGCTTGGTAAATTGAAAGGCATGAAGTCCATGAGTCAATAATTTGAAAGCAGTGTTGTGTGAATGCTGAAGTTGCATTTCTCGTACTGACGTACCATGAATTTTCTTTTTCTTTTCTGTATTTTGGTTTTGCATGATGACCATTGCCCTTGTATGTTTTTTATCTTTTTTCTGGATGCTGAAGTTTTTAATATATCTAGTTAAATTGTCAACAAATCTTGTCCAGATATGGAAGCAACACTATCTGAGCTGGGTATTCAAAACCGTCATGCAATGATTGTTGTTCCACATCGGCAGCCTGGTCAGGTAACAAGGCCTCAGTCATCAGCATCTTATGATGTGGGTGGCAATTCAGGTGCGGGGGGATACTTTGGTTACCTGAGAACCGTGCTGTCTTATGTGAATCCACTCTCCTACCTGAGGGGAAATACGAACTCATCAAATCCAGAGCTACAGTCAAATGAAGGCCTACAGCAGCTAAGTATGTTTTCTTATTTAAATTTTATTTCTAGTCAGTGACGGAAGTGTATTGGCATTTTCATTTAAGCTTTTTATAGTTCTGTAATGTAATTTCTAATCAGTGCAATTATCTCTACATCTCTGAAACAGGACATGGATCTGGTCAGCCACGGCCTCTTGTTGGCAATAGGGGCCATGAAGTGACTGATGCAGACTCTGCAAACACGCTGCGAAGGCGGCCCAGACCATTTGGTGCTAATGTCCACACTCTGGGGAGCGAGGATCATGGTCCATCTGATGAAAGAAATGTTTTCTGGAATGGGAACTCGACAGAGTTTGGAGGCGATGACAGAAAATAAGTTATGGTGTGGCAGGGCCACGGACGACACAATCAGGCAGAATCGAAGTTGGGAACAGATACCTGAAACAAATGCCTCAACATGCTTATTGAGTAATAAAGTGTTGAGATTATAGTGGCGAAAGTAATCGCTAAATTGTGACGTTTACATTCGTGGAAACATTATACGGTCGCTGGATAAGTGTACTCGTTATATATATAGTAGATAGATATATTAAATCCGAACTGCTTGGTTTTACTGTGATCGAACGACATTTGTTTTGGTGGGCTACGAACAAAATTCGCAGCAACACATAACGCATGAAACAGCTTCTGAGTTGGGATGAAAGGTGGACACGTGAGTTTTGGAACCAAAGAGGGGTTCGCTTAAAACTAAATCTAGGCACAAATTTGATAACTAGAAAAGCCATAAGTTAACTTGCACAACGTGCACTTACGGTTTTTAGTGTGTTTTAAACTAACAGCATAAGATCTAGATCTAATATTTTTAACTAGCCTGTGCTACTCTGTTAATCTACAAACGGTACAGGCCACATGAATCGAGTGCAATGCAGAAGATATCGATTGCCAAAACATAACCCTTGCTCCACGTAGAAGCTCTCCATAAGAGAGATGCTGCTGTAATACCTCTGGTGTTAAGCTGGGAAGAGCACATGCATTTTTAGGCATCATCCTTAAGCATCTTTAGGCATTATGTGTTATTGCATGTGCTGGTTTATATAAAATGTTATGCCAAATTATACAAGGAAACTAACTCTGCATTAGGGATTCAGAAACTTAATCCTGAATAAATTTGAAAATATATTTCTGACTGTGTTTCAGTTCTGTTCATCAGTATTACATAATTGACAGTAACCAAATGGCTCAGAACTGACTGAAATTAATTTTTATTTACTTGCCTTAACCTTTTTCCCTAAGCCCCGAATAAAGCAACCCCTGATTGCAACTAGTGTTAACCAGGTGAAACCCAACCTATGCTGGACTTTTTATGCAACCAGTTCCAACTCTGATAGAATCAGCCCATTTCGACTGAATCCAGGCTTTACCGAATTTACATAGAGGTATCTACTGATTCCAACTAATTCCATCTAATTGAAATTGTCTTGAACTAGCCTCAATCTGAATCAAGCCTTCCTGAATTTCTAAAGAAGTAGCTACTGATTCTAACTGACTCCAACTAGTTCAAACTGCACTATACTGAATCAGCCTCGACCTGAACAAGCCTTGGCCTCGGTTGCAACCAATTGCAACTGTCTCAAACTCACATTCAGACTCCACTAAACTTGACCGACGTTTGAGTCCCAACCAGTTGCATCCAGTTGTAACTAGCCTAAACTCAATTGGAAGACAACGAAACCCGCCCAGACTGAGCCAGTGGCAACTAGTTTCAACTAGTTAAAACTGGTTCCAACTGCATGTTTTTGTCAATTTAGACTGTCAAACCGCTATGCCCATGGTTTTCACCCCACCTTGAGCACTCCGTGCCATATGGCGTAGTCCCACAAGCTTTGGCCAACGCTTGGCAAGCTGCCTGGCGTCCTATGCCGCATGGCCTTCACGCCAATGCTCCACTACATGCAGAGTTCCCCATGTGTCACTGCCAAGCAAATTACAGAGACATCTCAACCATAGTCATGCAACAAACTCCACCTTGATGACCCCTAGACCGCCCATGTGTCACCTTATTCTCACTCGGTTCTTTTAGAAACCTTCTTCACCTTCCAAACACACAAATTCCTTTGGACCACCAGACTAAACATTATTTCAGCTTCTAGGTGCAAGCCTGAGCTATATCTTCCAAGGTAATGTATAACTTAACTTACCCTTGCCATGACCACAACGCTGAAAATTTTTCCCAAGCCAAATACATTCACCGCATTGTGACATTGGCGTCTCCTCATCATATATTCGTTTTGGATACATGTAGAGGCAGGCAATACCGAGACTGCTCCTACTGACGGCCAAGACTACGGAGAGGTCATTAAGAAGTATGAGGAGGTGATCCCTGCAGCAACAATGCCTGAACAACACCATTAAATTCTCGAATAAGTTTAGGAAAATACGAGCACCCGTATTAAGTCGAAGACTCGAATCCAGGTGGATAGATTATACCACAAGGAACCCAACAAGCTGTTGATGACCAAAAGTGGCCAAAGCATGAAAATAATTTTGTGACAATGTTCCTAGCGATAAACGATCGTAAAAGATATATTGGATCATGTTTTTGAAGTCAGGAAGGCGAAAGAAGGGAAGGAGAAGCACACAGCCTGCAGGACCGGCTAGGCCAGTTCCCAAACCAGCCAGACTAATTTCTCTGCACCAAACAGGCCGGTTTGCCAACCGGCCAGTACAGTTTTACTACTGTGCTCGCCCTGGCCCAGCTGCTCGCCCCGACAAAACCGGCCTAGCTAGCTTGGGATCCAGCCAAGCCGGTTTCATTATCCTATTCCAATTGATAGGTTTCAAATTGATTTTGGATCTATTTTGGCGCGAAAAACTTGGAAATTGAGATATGGACTTGTTTCTTACTGGGATAAGATCACCTCCTCTATATATATCAGAGGATCATGGCCAATTGAGGAATCCAACATCCAATCGAGTTTTTACATCTATTACACCTTTTTACTCAACTTTTCTAATCTCTTGCTATTTGTTGTGTCTTCCGCGAGATCCAATGGTGCTCTAGGTGGCCTTGTTGACCCTAGGACAACCTCCAGCATGCATCTCCCCTACGGGTCCTCTCGGGAGGTGTTCCCGAGTTCTTGTGGTGAAGGATGGGCTCTAAATTGGTCTAATCGATATCTAGATCGGTTTCGCTGACATTGGAGTTACTTGCTGCGTGTGATAGGTTGTTTGCAACCTTGGGCATGCTAGCCCTTGCTGGTGTGTGACCCTAATTGGCGTGAACACACTGTTTGGCGACTCCGCTGGGGATTGAAGATCAATATGAGTTCAAGATGCATGAAGATCAAGACAACAATGGGTGAGTGATCTCACTAATGCGTCCATTGAGAAGAACATCATCTATCCCACTACTATTGATCAACTCCCAGAGCATATTCGCTATATTGTGGAGGAGAAGAACGCCACTAACCTAGGGGCCGCTCTAGCGAGTTGTTTGATGGAATGACAGTCTAGTACTGTAGCAGCACAATTCAAGCCTATCAATGTCTAGATGCTTGAGGCTCCAACCACTACTACACCCAAGGTAACCCGACCCGTAAGTGAAGCATCTTCATCTTCTGTGGTTACTTTGGATCAAGTGAAAAACTCATGGAGGATAGGGAAGCAGAATGGATAAATAGGTTTAATACTATGCATAGTAATGCTAATCTCTAGAAACATGTTGAGCCTATCTCAAGAAACATGTTGAGCCTATGCTTGTTTTTCCTAGTAGCTTTGTAGTGGTATCATCGGCTTCTAAGACCACAAATTTTCCCTATGGCATGCCAATGAACTACCCTAAAGGGCAAGTAGGCCCTTCTATAGGCGTTGTAGGGACTAATGCTGTGGTCATTCATCCTACATACACTAACCCCACTACAAGTGTCCCACAAACTTATGATGTGCACAATTCGGGCAATGATGACCAATTAGTGAATTGGATAGGTTTGAGGCTCTATACACTTCTGTATCTTGTGGGCTTGGTGTACCGCCTGAGGGCACTTGTGAACCGTTTGGTCCTGTCCCTCATTATATTTTTAATCAACAATTGAATAGCTGGCAAGCATAACAAAATCATGGAAGGCCAGTTCAAGAAATCGTCCAACCTAATGCGGGATCATCAGCTAGACCGACTTTTCAAGTCGGACATGCCGATCCTCCCCAAGGTAAAGTGATCTTTCCAAAGGTCAGAGAGTTCTCGCCAACCATGAAGCCTCAATGGCTAGGAGAACTAAAGAAAATCTCAGTGTTGATATTAGGGCAATACATTAGTTTATCAAAAGCCCTATTCTTCTCACTTTGATTGGGCTCCATCTCCTCCTAATTTTCGTTTGCCTATTTCTGTTAAATTTAGGGGAGGATAGTAGGAGTACTTGGGAGCATATAAGTCAATACTTAGCTCAATTGGGGGAAGCTAGTTTGGTTGATGCTATTAAAGTTTGCTTATTTTCATTGCCTTTTAACCAGAATTGCTTTTTCTTGGTTTGCATCTTTGGCTCCTCGTTTGATTAGCTCATGGTGTGACTTAGAGAAGAAATTTCATGAACACTTCTTCTTTGGCACATGTGCACAAGGTGATACACTTGGTGGTTGGCACATTTGAGCAAGGGTTTGAAACTTCACCCGCGGAGTGTCACCGGACACTGGTCACGCAGTGACCGGACGCTGGGTCCTACGTCCGGTCAGTGGCGTGCACTGAAGGCTGCCCTCAGTCTCTTGACCGAACACAGGCGACTGGACTCTGGCTAAACACTATTTAGCATCCGGTGGACTCTGGCTAAACACTATTTAGCGTCCGGTCCTGCTAATGTGGAGGCGCACAGAGAAGACCGTGAGTGACCGGACGCTGGGTGAGTCAGGTCGGACGTGACCGGACGCGTCCGGTTGCGAAATTCCACCTCTAGAAGCTTACTGGAAGTGATCGGATGCTGGGGTCATGCATCCGGTCGGGCGTGACTGGACGCGTCCGGTCACGAGTGGAACCTTACTGGAAGTGACCGGGTGCTGGGGTCCTGTGTCCGGTCCTACACTGTAGAGTATCTGGTCACAACTTAAATGTATTGATAACCGTTGAGATCGGGCGATAAGCATTTGAAGCAGAGGACACGTGGCATGCATCGCGTGACCGGACGCTGGGGTCCTACGTTCGGTCGATCTGACCGGCGCATTCGGTCGCCCCGATTTTTCAGTGAACAGATAGCCAACGGCTCTATTCTTGGGGGCTCTCTATTTAAGCCCCATGGTCAGCTCAAGCTCACCCCCTTGGCCATTTGCATTGACATAGCAACCTCGTGAGCTTAGCCAAAGCCCTCTCACTCATCTCCATCATTGATTCAT